GAGAGGGAGAGGGAGAGGGAGAGGGAGAGGGAGAGGGAGAGGGAGAGAAAGGGAGCTGAAGCTTTGGCAATGCCTTTCGAGATTTTATTTTTGGCGTTTTGGCGCTTCTGGAGGTGGCGGCTGTGCTGGGTGCCTGGGCACACTGGTGCTACCAGGACCATCTCGAGGAGGCTGCCTTTGGCGCCAACGACAGGTGGCCTCCATGGACTCTGCACTGACGGATCAAGATAAGTCGAGAAAGAAGAGATGCTGAGACCATGTCTACCTTTTTCAATTATTCAGTTTTCAGTTAGTCAATTATTCAATTTTTCAATATATATATATAACTATAATGAGATACCATCGGACTGGACATCAAATCCTGTTGTCTAATGTCTAATGCAGAATAGGTATCCTGAGTAAGAAACATGCATTTAGTTTTCGTCATTTTCGAACATCCCCCAAGCCTTAAGCAACTCGGAGCCGAGTCCAGATTGGAATGTATATATACTCTGATTCAATCTGAATCTAACTCCTCCTTGTCATTTTGTTAAGCGCTATAGATAAATATATTTAGAAATAGTAGTAATAGCACAAAATACATACATGACATACATATATCATATATATATATATATATTCATTCTACCTATTCCTTCATGACATATGGCCAGCCTAAGCAAAACCTGGAACATTCTGGGTATTGGGCACTTGAACTTGCCAGCCGGTCCCAGCCGGCGTTTTCTTCTTCGAAGATTCTGGGAATGTCAAATATGGCTCCTTTTTGTTCTGAATCCAAATGACTGTGGGACATTGAACGGTGGGAGTGATGTGTTTTTGTGCTGGCTTTGTTCCACCACATTTTTGCCACAGGTTTCCTGTGGCCGTGCTCTTGCAGCACTTCAATCTTGGAACCTCGGTGGAGAAGTGGTCGAACTCGGCGGTGGGAATTTGTCCCTTCATTTTTCTTACTAGAAATAGAAACTTTAGCGGTGGCAGGTTAGTCAAGATCCAGATCTGAGATGTTCCTCTCCTTGGGATTCATGTGAAGTGCCCCATGCCATCTCAAGGATACTTCCTCTACGACACGGTGCATGTGGCTGTTCCTTGCCTTAACATTGAGCTGCTATAACCAAATTTGGAGTGATTGAGTTCCACAGGCAGTTCAGTCGCAAGACTGAATCCCACCCGTTAGTAGGAGACCATGGGAACATCAACTCCAACAATCTCCAACAGTTTCAATCTGAAGACGATGCAATTCATGGATTCATCAACTTGAAGAGCAGTCCTCAGTCGTGTGTGTGTTTCAGCACTTGAGCGATCTGTTAGTAGGAGACCATCAGTTGTAGGCCAGTTCTAGCCTCGAGATGCGGCAGTGCCATATGACCAATGAACCTCCAGACCAATGAAGGACCAATGCCTCGTCCAATCTCCACAAGACCCTTGTCCAAAGCCTTTTTCGGAATGGAACGAAAGAGGAAAGGAATAACGATGCAATCCTCTACACAGCATTTTGGGGCCAGTGGTCAACTCAGCAGGGTGACCACCACCAGAAAGCGAGGTATGGTGGCGAGTCGCGAGGAGCGAAACCATCCCCCGCGTCCCTCCTGCATCTCTCGTTGACCTTGACCTTGCCAGCTTCGGCATGGGGAAGAGTTGGTGATACCGAAAGGTGATCTACCGTGCACCGGTGACTTGCACCCAACGGGTGACGAGTTGCACCACCACCGGGGGGAACCCATCCCGGGTGACGGTGTTCGTTCCGGAGACCGGCTAGAAACCGGCCGAACGGCGCGGATCGGATGGGTATCCGTGATTCGTGGCCAGAAAACAGGAGGAATTCCTATCAAAACTGGTCCTTTTTCCATGTCAGAGACCAAAAAGGATCTGCTTTTCTGGTCCACTGGTCCTCCCGCTGCATGGTCCGCGTGCTGTGATGGTCGCCAAGTACTTTGCTTTCTCCAGACCCTTTGTCAATGCATGCTGTGTGATGTAAAAGGTGCGAAAAGCACCATTTGCACATGTATTAGTATCTTGATTTCCTGGCCTGCCACGAACTCCTCTTTTCAAGCACCTGAAGACGCCAGACGCCGGACGCCGGGGCACGTGTGTCACCGGCGGGTCCGGTGGGTCATACGCACAAATCATAGCCACTTTTAGGGTCCAAACTCAGCGGTTTGGTAGGGCACCATTTTGCCAGATGAACTTAGATACCATTCTGCCTAGATCGGACTTAGTAACCTAGGCCCCTTTTTGGTGGGCCTTGTGCGATTTTTTTTCCAGGAGCCTGTTTTTCTGTTGACACAGGCAGTATGTATCATATACATATACATACTGTATATAATATAATATAATATAATGTAATGTAATATTTTTTTTTTCCATTTGCTTGTGGCTTTCCGAGTCGGGGGGGCCCCGGCGCAAGCCTTGTGAATTCACTGGGCTTTGAAAAACGTTAAAAAGGGTCACTTTCGCCTTTGGCGAATGGGAGCGTAGTCCGGTTGCATCTCCTGAACGGTGTCCTCTTGTTGACGGAGAGCAGTGACATAGGCTAGCAAGTCAGGGTCAGTCATCTGGCAGGGTTGAGACTTGCGTTTGCTGAGCCACTGATCCATGAAAATCTTGGCCAAAACCTGATTCAGGTAGGGGGAGTACTCTTTGGCCGAACTTGTGTGAAAAGCTCCCTGGTCGTCCTTACCAACCAAGCTCTTCAGCGTGGTCGGATCGACTTTCTTGGCATATGCTCTGAAGGTCTCTCGAGCTCGTGGAAGGTGAGCCACTAAGAAGGTCGTCGGTTTCCATGCCACACCTTCAAACTGGCCTTGATAGACGTTTTCCAGTGTGACAGCAGGGTGGAGTCGAAGCCATCTCATCACTGGAGTCTTCCAGATGCTCGGGAGATCGTGCCGCTTTGGGGCACGAGGATGCTCACAAATCACAGAAACACCAGCAAGAACCGCATGTAGAGCAAGGTGAATTGCTGTGAAAAGTAACTCATTGGCCACCAAAATTTGTTCTAACTCGGCCAAGGTCAAATTCGGTCTGACCCACGGCTGTTCGGGCAATCTGAGAACTCTAGGGTTACCCTCGAGGGCTCTGGCACTCGACCAGGACTCACAGGGAGGAGCCATCAAAATACCCAAAACTTTACCAGAACCAATCCAAGACTCAAATTTGCGTACATGAGCTTCTTGGCGCATGTCGTGATCCGCAGAAAGAGCCACGTCAATGAGCAGCGGGTGACAAGTCACTCCATGTAAAAGGCCCCAGGCAATGAAGTGCTCGGCAAAGTCCCCTGGTCTGCGTCTGCCAGAGTATAGGTACAGCACCACTGGCTGTTCCTGCAATGGAGCGCAGGGAGCAGGAAGCCAAGCAACCGAAGTCAAGGCATCACGAAGGGTGCTCTGACCAACTTGAGTGGGTACATCGAAGTGTTGCGAAATGAGCCAGGCTTTGTAGCTGCGACGATCAGCATGAAAAATTCCTTGAGGAACATTGCAGGCTGGCGCCCGGAAGCGCGACAACATATGTTGTTGAATATCAATCGCTGGATGGTCATAATATTGTCGCCAAAGTTCCAGGGCTGCGGCAACTCGTGGTAGCACAACATCGCAAGCCACGACAGAATCATCCCAGTCGATGCGATCGAAAGCATCCCAGAGTGCAAAAAACACTGGTTGAGCAAAAGTCACTGGCTGCAGGTACTCATACAGTGTAGCCTCCTCTGAATCGGCAGTACACAAACGAACAAAACCTGACACAAAGGTGCACAAAGCGGGTTCCCTGTCAGTGGCACAAAGGGTCAGGTCTGCATCGAGAAGTGCACCAGACTCATTAGCTTGCTGAAATCGCAGGTCTGCCAACAACCAAGGGTGTTGGGGCACAGGTCCAGCAAGACGTCGCACCGGCTTGCGAAATGAACGAGTACGCATACGTGAATATTGTTCACGAAGTTGGACACGATCAGCTGCAGCCAAAGACTCCTCAGACTCCGGGTCCAAGGGTGGGACCGTGCAGATGAGCGCATGCAAACAACCGGTTCGAGTATACTTCAAATGGTGCAGAAGCTGAACTCGCGAATGGTACTGTCTTAGGCACCAACGGCAGGTGGAATCGACAGCATATAGACTGGCCACATTGCGTGAACGATGCTGCTTAAAATCATGCGCAAAAAGTCGCTGCAGGCTAGCAAAAGACTGCTGGCATATGGGGCAATGGAAAATCGGCAAATCTGTCGAAACAGGTGTGGCTGCCGTAAACAAAGCTCCCTTGTTCTGAGCGGTTTGCACAAAACGAGATCGAAAGGCGACCAGGGCATTCCAGATGCGAGCTTGTTGAAAGAAACAGGCATTGGCCAGTTTACATTTTGCCAGCAATGTGCGAGGAGTGGCCGTAAGATCGGCGGCCAGACTTGACCAAGGCTTAGTGTCAACCTCTGGGATAAGACTGTCTGTCGGCAGCAACTGGTTCAGGGCGTTGAGGTCAGCGCGTATCAAGCGAAGCCAACCTGAACGCTCTGTTTGAGCTTGGAGCGTACAGAGCAAATCGGCTTTGGGCAAGTCGAAAACACGAACAAAAAGGCGAAGACGTGTCTGGCTCAAAAGCCACAACGGAGGCAGCTGCATGGAAGTTGTCACAATGTCCAACTGATGGACTCCAGCTGCAAGTGTCAAAGTAGGGACAATGCGTCTGTACAATTTGAGAAGCTGGGTGACCCAAAATTGCAGAGTTGCAACATTCATTTGCTGCCATGTGGCGGAGCCATAGAGCAATTTGCGGTTAATTAGACTGCGATAAAGCATCTCACGCGTACGCTGTTGTAGGCTGCGCTTACGAAAGACGTTCATCAAAAGCAGTCGGCTCATAGGGCGGCAGAGCTGGAAGCGTCGTTTGACTTCAGCATGTGGGTGGCCTCGACCATCATAGAGTGAACCAAGATGCACATAATCTGGGCGAACATGGACTATGCCCTGTGGCAGGCTTTCACAAGAAAAGGAAAGCTCCGGAGAGCCATGAGGCGTCAAGTCGTCCCAGGCTTGTCGAGCTTTGGAACCTCTAAAGCGTAAAACAACTTCGGTCTTGTCTTGAGCGAAATTGAATACAGTGCAGTGGGAGGCCGCAGCATCCACAAGAGTGCCAAGCAACAAACGAACGTTATCGAGTAAGAGGTCCGGTGTTTCTGCACAGGTGAAGGCTGTGAGATCATCAGCCCACGAGGCCATACCTGGAGCGAAAAGATTGGGAGGCTCCAAAAATTCCTCCGGACCAGGCAACCATTGGAGCGGGAGTTGGCGAAAAACGCCAAGTTCGACCAAACGCGCCTTTGCATGAGACTGAATCTCGGCCAAAAGGAAGGCGAACAGCATGTCTGCCAGTGGGGAGCCAGGGCGACTACCCCGGGTGGTATGAACCACCGTTGGTCGATCGGCCATACTGAACCAAGTTGCATTAAGGACATCACTTATGATCCAACGCAGATGGTCAGGGACTTGTGCAGTTGCAAAGGCATCTGGCTGATGCATCAAATGCATGAACGTTTGGTACGACTGACTGGACAAACCATGATGCCGGAAGAAAGCTGCAAGGTCTTCATCGGTCTGGATGTCTCGAAGCAAGGCTGGGCGAAAAAGCCGGTAGTAGGCACTGTTGATGTCAATGAAGACACATGCGTGAGACAGGCCTTTAGAGGCAGCATACTCTGCATGGGACTGGACCAAGAGTTGAATTTGGTCCGGACCAGTGCCTGGAAGGCATCCAGCCTGCAAGGGCGGAGCTGAATTGGGCAGGTAGCGTTGAAGCTTGCTGCGCCAAATCTTACGCACCAGCTTAGTCAAAACATCCTGGAGCATGATACCTCTGTAACCTCGGGGATCATGCGCAACTGTAGCCTTCTTAGGCATGTAGATCAATTGACCACCCTTGAAACGCATGGCCTCACGGCATCTCAATGCAACCTTTAGGACCAAAAGAAAGAGCAAGCGAGCTGTGGTCGGGATATCCACTTGATAGAGCTCGGCAATTAAACCATCTGGCCCTGGGGCCTTATTGCTCCTGAATTGGCGCAGGCTGTGTTCAACTTCTTGCAGCGTTGGCAAAACACAA